CCACCAAGCCTACAACCACTTCCTCGTAAAATGTGACACTATAAATCGGCAAAATGGAATGACCTAAAACAGTATTACCTGGATTTTCCATGGCAAGAGGTTTGCTTTAAAACAGCTGATCCCACTATTTGCTGTAATGAAATAACACAAGGAATCTTATCTGGAATGGACGCATATATCCCACATACAACTAAACGTAGAGCTAATGCAAAACCTTGGTTCAACAGCCAGTGTCAAACGGCTGTACAGAAAAAACACAGAGCATATAACCTTTGGAAACGACAACAAACCGCTCAAAACCACACAGAATTTATAGAAGCCAGAAATAGTTGCAAAATTACTATTGACTCCGCTAAAGAAACATACAATCAAAGAATAAAAAACAGGTTGCTGAATTGTCCAAGTAGTTCTAGGTCTTTTTGGTCTCTTGCAAAAGCTGTTGGATCTAACTTCACCAAGTCATCCATACCACCACTTACAGATAAAAATAATCACTTAGCCACAACATCAGAGGAAAAAGCCAATATGCTTGCCCAAATGTTTTCCTCCAACTCCAACCTAACAGTGAAAAACGGAAAAACTGCACCGTTCATTGAAAGGGTTTCCCATAGTATGCCAGAGGTACCCTTTTGTCACAGAGAAATACGAAAATCCCTAAAAAAGCTGGATACAAAGAAAGCAATGGGTCCGGATGGCATTCCCGCAATAGTACTCAAAAATTGCGCCAACGATCTCACCCCAACTTTCGCAAAATTATTCAATTTGTCTTACAGGCAAGGAGTATATCCATCATCATGGAAGTCTGCCGCAGTACAACCCATTCCAAAGAAAGGAAAAAAGACAGATCCGTTAAACTATAGACCAATTGCTCTACTTCCGGTGATATCAAAAGTAATGGAAAGAGTTGTGAACAATCACCTAACCAAGTACTTGGAAAAGTACAAAATTATCAACGATAAGCAATACGGATTTCGAAAATATAGGTCAACTGGCGATTTACTTACATACGTCACTCACTTATGGCAAAAAGCGATTGAGTTGCGGGGTGAAACAAGAACAATTGCCTTAGATATATCTAAAGCATTCGACAAAGTTGGGCATGAAAATCTGCTCAACAAGCTCAAAGCAATGGGATTATCGCCGAAACTTTGCACTTGGTTTGAAAGTTACCTAAAGGACAGATCCATTTATGTTGCACTGGATGGCCAGAACTCCAACTCTTACCAAATAAATGCTGGTGTGCCACAGGGAGCAATCCTTTCGCCAAGTCTTTTCCTGATTTACATAAATGACCTCATAGATAAAACAGTAAATCCACTTTATTGCTTTGCAGACGATGGCAATGTAGTCTCCTCACTCATACCACCCACAGGTTTTTCCGCACGTGAATTCCATCATCTTAGACTAACTCAAATATCGCAGATAAATAACGACCTGGAGATAATAGAGGACTGGGGTAACAAAAACCTTGTACAGTTCAACGCGCAGAAAACCCAAGCAGCTCTGTTTTCAAAAAAGACCAGCACCGGTGAGCCAAACATCATGCTATCTGGAAGTGCTGTCACATTACAGAGTCAGTTGAACATCTTGGGGGTTACTGCAGAGACCAACATGTCTTGGCACAGTCACGTGGCAGATATTGCTAAAAGGGCCTCCCAAAAGCTGGGGGTGCTATTTCGTACAAGACATCTGTACACACCAAGCCAATTGCTGACACTCTACAAAGCCCAGATTCGACCAACTATGGAGTACTGCTCACATATATGGAGTGCAGCACCCAAACATACCTTAATGCTTTTGAATACCGTGCAAAAACGAGCTATCAAGCTGATCAATGACCCCGCACTTACTCGTAACTTGGATGGTCTCGAACATCGCAGATCTGTGGGCGATTTATCTCTCTTCTACAGGTACTATCACGGAAAATGCTCTGAAGAGTTGGCACGTATGACTCCACCGAGAGTAGCACCTACCAGGCGAACCCGTCAAACAGACGGTAACCATGAATTTACTGTCAAACTAGAGGCACCAAGAACCTCATTATATCAGAATTCATATCTCTGGAGAACAGCATCGCTGTGGAATAAACTCCCTGCGACGGTTTTCCCTGCAGGTTACAACCTGAACCGTTTCAAGACCAACATACACCGACATTTCCGCGCACTTGCCGCTTCTCGAGCGAGATAGGACATTTCCTTGCGAGTGCGCATATCCGTAAAAAAAAAAAAAAAAAAGGTTGAAAAAGAAGCGAGATAAGAAGCGGAAGAATCAAGCAAGAAGAAAGTTATGAGCATGTTGGAGAGAACGGTGAAATGCCAGATCTAAAACCACAGAGAAATGTTCGCAAGCCTGCCAGATTTCATAATTTTCACTTGAACTTTGTAGAAATTGACATTCCAGACACATGATGATCTAGCAAAAAAGTTTTTTCCGGGCTATAATGCCGTGGTCCATTAGTATTTCTACCTAACGTTTCGTCTACTGCTGCGGTAGACATCTTCAGAGGCGGTGTGGTAGAGGACTCTTCCGTGTTTCTCCGATGACTGAATTCGACGTTGAGGGAACTGCGTTATTTATATCCAGGGTTGTGGGCGTGGCTTGGATTACGGTATTTTCCTTGTCTCGTTCTCGGAAAGGAAGAGTCTGTGTTTTTCGGAGAACTGGCAACCAGCTTTTATTGAGGTTCATGCCCTCTTCTTTTCTCTTGAAGTTGTTGTGGTGTTTCTGTATCTCTATGGCCAACCCTGGATATAAATAACGCAGTTCCCTCAACGTCGAATTCAGTCATCGGAGAAACACGGAAGAGAACACTTCGTCCTCTACCACACCGCCTCTGAAGATGTCTACCGCAGCAGTAGACGAAACGTTAGGTAGAAATACTAATGGACCACGGCATTATAGCCCGGAAAAAACTTTTTTGCTAGATTTGACCGGCCGTGAAAGCCTTCATTCTTTATTCACTTATGATGATGCTATGAAAAGCAAAGAAAATGGCAAATGGAAAAAGACGATCAATGAAGAGTATGATGCTTTGTTTAAGAACAACACATAGATAATAGTAAAAACTTCAGAAAATAAGAAACCTAGAGGCGAGATGGGTTTTTCGAGTTAGAAGAAATTAAGACGGCATAATCTCAAGCTACAAGCCAAGACTATGTGCTAAAGGATATGCACAAAAGGAGGGCATAGAATAAGAGAAGAGTGTTGCTTGCCACTGCAAATATGAAAGATTATGAATTTAAGCAGTTCGACATAAAAACTGCCTACTTATATGGCGAATTCGAAGAAAATATATACATGAAATCACCATCCGGATTGGACTGCAAAGAAGGTTTTGTTTGCAAGCTGGAAAAGTCATTGTATGGCTTGAAACAAAGCCCAAGATGTTGGAATAAGAAATTCAGCACTTCTCTACTAAACTGTTGTTTTGAAGCTTTGACAGCAGGCAAATGTGTCTACACAGGGTACGTCGAAAATATAAAAGTCCTGCTTGTGATATACGTAGATAATGGTTTGATATTCTCTTCTCAAACGTCAGCGATTGATACAGTTTTAGATGAATTAGATAATTGTTTTGAGGTTGAAATTGCACAAGAAGCAAATTATTTCGTTGGTATTGAAACAAAAAGGGACTTGAAACAAGGCAAGATGTTCTTAAAACAGTCAAGCTACATAAAAGATATAATAAGGGAAATACAAACATCTGTGGTTTTACTGACTCTGACTAGCTAGTGATACTCAAACAAGCGGCTATGTGTACAAGTTATGCAATGAACCCATAACGTGGTCGAGCAAGAGACAGCCAACAGTTACACTGTCAATAACTGAGGCTGAATACGTAGCTTCACAAGCCACCAAGGAAGCCATCTGGTTACAAAAGTTGTTATTCGACATGTACGAAGAAGTCATCAAACCAACAATTTTAAATGTTGATAACCAGAGCTCCATAAAATTAATACGAAACCTAGAATTTCACAATAGGACAGAACATATTGATGTCCAGTATCACTTTGTGAGAGAAAAATATGAAGCTGGACATATTGTTCCTGTCTATGTGAATACCTACACGAGAACAGCAGGTGAATATTCACAAAAGCGCTTCCCAGAAATAGATTTCAAGAGCTTCTCAAGAAACTTGGTTTCATTGGAGTTATTCAAAAATAATAAAAGGTGGAAGTGCAGTTATTATTAAGATTTTTGTAATATTAAATATTTAAATATGGTCTATACACTTTTGGTCTTCAATATTTTCCAGTGTTCTTCCATGTTCTCCGGGTCTCTAACGGAAGTTCCTGGCTTAGAGAGGCTTGGAATTTTGTCCTTGCACATAATTTGCGTATTCATATGCAACTGAACCAGAGTACTCCAATTTATTTCCATTCATTCTATCAAGTCACATAAGGTTATTTGGTCTTCATTATTATATTTGTTTTTTCCTTTCAGTTTCGTGGCCCTTTCAGTTGATGCTTTTTCATTTATTTCTTCAATCGAATGAAAAACAGAAAAGCCTTTTCAAAGTACTGCTAACTGCAGTGCAACGAAGCAGTTAAACAGTTTTATTCGTTCTTAAGTTGAATTTGCATCAAATGTAAAACATAACAGTTTGCTCAATATATGACTTTATGTAAATTAATACAAAGCACCAACAAATATTTAAATATTAATATACACCTATACAAATTTAATTCAGGACCTCCTCATTTTTTTTTCGATAAAAGGAGGTGCCGCTCTTTTGTTCTTCGAGCAATGCCACTTAATTACAAGGTGTTATGTCAATTATTAAACATCACAAAAAAACAATAACGTGAAATGTATAGGTAAAATTATTCGTTTCTAATCACCATTTAAAATTTAGTGCTTGGCTTTTTTTTAGCAATGTGAACTATTGAGTAATAGCCACTACAGCATCTAGTGGAATTTAATTATTTATTTTCGGCCTTGTAAAGATAAACATTTCATTTTTAACATAATAATTACATGATTTTTTTTTTCTTTTTCAGCTTGGTGGTGGTATATGGGGCGGCATACTCGCCATGATCACAGGCATATCCGGTACCTTAGCTTCGGCCAAGCATTTTTGCCCCTTCAAGAACACAGCCCAAAAAGTAGCTCACACGACATTTCTAGCACTCAGCTTAATCAGTATAGCTGTCAGTCAGCTTATAGTGGTCATAGCCAGTACTGGATTGGCTAGAGATGTTAATAGTGTGGAGTTTATAGAGTCCATGGAAAGAGCAGAGGTAAGAAAACGAAAATTTATTTGTTGGATGAGTTTGAATTTTTTGTTTTGCAAAAAGCCTCTGATTCTGTTTAGAATCAGTGTCATGTCTTGACGATAAAGGATTAGTGTAATGTAGGTTTCCACTACAATAAATGAATATGTATTGAAGATTGTCAAAAGAAGCTGAAATTGGACTTTCGATGTTTCACTTCCAATTAAATAAGTGGACTGTTATTTTTGGCTATTCAACTTTTTTCGAACCTCATAATCATGTCAACTATCGGAAATTTTAATGTCCATGTCTATCTATGATAGAGACTATCCTCCCAAATACATATTTACACCATTCTGTAATAATTCGACCTTCCCAGGTACCTACCTATAGACAATAAATTAAACATTCAAAACCTATCACTCTCCAATCCTATCACGTGCAATTAACAGTACAAATAAATAATTCTTATGATTGACATTTTAAATTAATTACATTCTTATTCTCACGTGTTCAAAAGACAATTATTATAAAACGTGTGAGCAATAATTATCGGAATAACAAGAACGTTAGAATAAAAACAGTTTGTTGTTTTTAATTATGCAGAAGTCAGATTTACTGTTAAATCTTATGAAAATGCTCAATTTATCAATCAGTCTCTGGGTTTCTGGAAATGGGCTCTTTCACTAAAATTTAAATACGTAATTTAGGTATAAAATCCCAAAGGAGAGACTATTTTAGGCACATATACCAAAAAAAAATGTTCTACAAGGTTAAATAAGTTTTTTACAGGCATTTTAAACTACCAAAATTTGAATTATTTAAAAACGCGCCGATTTGCTGACGTCGCATAAATATTTTTCATTTCGCTTGTTGTTGCAAACAGCTGTCCGCCTCTGCTGTATTTATCCAGTAGTAAATGCAGGTAAAGGTTCGAATGCGCTGTTGTCGGTGGTGACTAAATGTAGTGCAACGTAAAATAAATAAATAAAACTAAACATAGAAAATTATATTAAATTGTGTTTAAGCATAATTTCAATAAAAATGTTATAAAATCTTGAATCCATAACTAATTAATTTAACTACTTTTCATGATATTTTGGGAACATTTCAGAATTAAATCTATTACAAATTTTCAATGTTGACAATTAGTGGCAACACGGTCAAATAGCGAGCTGCGACGTCATAGAAATAAATTCTGGGTTTTTATTTGGAGGTATTTCTTTTTTTTCTGTTTTCTCAAGAAGGACTATGAATTTTTCAAAAGTAAAAATACAGAAAATTCTGTTTTTAGTTGCTTTATCCAAATATGCCAATTTCAAAAATTAGTGAAAGAGCCCATTGCAATTGCATTTCGAGACACAGGTATTTACTACAAAATTGAGTCCATGATAAACACTATTTTGGTTTCTTCTAAGTTCATCATTTTTTTTATTGGAAAAGAATAATCCTGAAAAGTATGACAACTAGAAAAATAAACAAAAAAAGGGTGTTTGAGAAAATGAGCTTTTAACAATAATTTCAATGGTTTTAGTGGAACTGCTAGCTCTGTGAATGATTTGTAAAATAGCATACTAAGATACCAAATAAAGAAAAGAGGGTCAAAGCTGGCTCTTTTTGTTTGGAAGAAATTAACTAATAGTAGCTAAAACCTCTCCCTTTTTATAACAGTTATATACTTTCTCTGCAACAATTTGTTTTTACACCAATATATACGTACTTATTAATAATATGCATTGAACATTAGATATAAATTTATTAAATACAATGCCAATAATTTCCATAGAAAGCTCAAAGTCACTATTGTGTAAGGATTTATGCTTATGCATTTGAGATGAGATTAGCAAAAAAAACTACAGAGAAAGTGAGTTTGGTTATGGAGTTTAAAGCAAATTATTGCTAATTAAATGTTTGTTGAATTTTTCTCGGAATTTTTAGTTTCATGAAGAAATCAGTGGATCGTTCATTCTAGAAAGGTTGTACGTATGCTGATGTATTTTGTCTATTAAAGGAAAACTTCAAATTTTCATTAGAGAATTGTTATCTGAATTTTGGAGAGCCATATTTAGGTTTTTTCAATGTTAACCTGCGTCACTTATAAAATTCTATTGGGTAGGGGATGAAAGAAAATATCACGAATATTATTTGTCTCTCGCAGAAAATTTCTTAGGCCACCCTGTATACCATTAGTTATCAATTTACGAAAACCCGTTCTCCTTATCCTAAAATGCAAAACGACAAATTAACAGTCACTTTTATGCCATAACATAAATGCGAGTACCGCACATTATTCTAATAAATGGTTACCCACACCGTATAGTACCGATTTTAGATTGTTAGCGGTACTCCTTTACGTTTATAGATGAGATGCTTATTGCTTATGCGGTGCATGTTGAAATAAATTATAGGCATTTGAGATATGTCAAGGATTTGTATTTGTACCGATGAAAACATAGGGCAGATTGTTGAATGATTTTCACTATAAAGGAAACGATCGGATTTTCAAGAGTTTTCATTGCATTTTCCTCAATAATTCAAAATAAGAAAGTTTCACAGAAAAGCAATTTTTCTGACCATCTGTCCAATTATTAATTAACCACCGTATCAAATTTATATTCCAATGTGGCTTGAGCAATATACAAGTCACGATAAAATAATAGCTCTCGCTTTTCACACACCGAAAACTTATGAATACGTATCTTATTATTAGGAAATAATATAATGAGTGTTAATTACACGTATCGGGGAATCCTATAGTGTCAATAAACTGGGTGAAAGTGATTTCGGACGTCTGTAATCACCAGGAAGAGATGGTTTTGTTTTATTTTGATTTATTTGTAGTTCGATAAACCACAATTATTATTATTGGAGCTGGGTTCTGGGTTTGTGTCTTTATTTTGTAGTTTTTTCGGCTATTAGCCATTCGTTTTTCTTTCTTTTAATGTCCGAGAAAGAAAAAACAAAAGGAGTGAAGAAGCAACCACAGAGGAAGAGCTAAGGAAAATGAACAGACAAATCTGCAAAGCAATAAGAAAGAAAGAAAGAAAGAAAGAAAGAAAGAAAGAAAGAAAGAAAGAAAGAAAGAATTTGCTTTATTGTCAGAAAATTTTACAATTTTGTGGACAAAGCTGAAAAAATAAAAAACAAAACATACAAATGCAAAAGCACAGACAAAACCAAACACTTGAACAAATAGTTCATGGTCAAAATTTGATTAAAACTAATAAACAAACATCTAGGTCTAACTGCTTATACTGTGCGAGTAAGCATATTATAGGTACTAAAAAAACAAACAAACAATCACTTCTAATAACCTATCATGATACAGGAACAAAAACAAAACCTGTGAGTAACCTGCTCAAAATTTAGAATTAGGAAACCATAAACAACTCGCTTACTGTGTACAAAGCCCTGCGAAATTCGAGAAAAGATGCAATGGACCTGATGTTAGGCGGTAGATGATTATGCATCTTTTTAGCATTATAAAGTATTGAACTTTTAACTAACTCTGAGCGCGGGATTGGCAGATAAAGATCCAACTCTGCGTTCCTCAGTGGATAATTGTGAGATGGCCTCTCTGAGATAGCTGATAATAAGTTCTTACGAATTAGGCAGACGGATTCGAAAATAAATAAAGATGGAAGAGTCAATATACTAGACTTGATAAAAAATTCCCGGCAGTGAGTTCTACTACCAAGTCCCAAAGAATAACGAAGAGCTCTCTTCTGCAGTCTAAAAATGCGTTCAAATTGAGATGCACAACACGTGCCCCAGAATGGAAGGGCGTAACGTAAATGCGACTCAAAAAGAGCATAATATACCATCCTGCAAGTTGCCGATTTAAGCTCACTGGAAACAGATCTCAGTGCAAAACAGGCCGAACGTAATTTCTTTGCTAAGGCGTCGATATGCAGGTCCCACTTTAGAGATTTATCAACAACAAGCCCCAGGAATTTCACGGAATCAACGGCCTCCATGGTATTGTTATCCAGTACTACAGATTGGAGCGAAGCTCTGTAAGATAAAACTTTGGTTTCAGAGAGGTTGAGGCACAGGAGATTTGAGTCACACCATGATTTGATGGTGATTAAGTCACTAGATACGGTTCTAGTTACTAGTTCCGTAATATCCGGGTTGCTCCAAGTGAAACTAGTATCGTCTGCGAAGAGACAAACTTTGCCGCTAATATCCAGACTAGCAATGTCGTTAATAAATAGCAGGAACAAAATAGGGCCAAGAACTGAACCCTGAGGCACACCACATTCAATTGGTTTACAAGAGGACATGGTCGAGTCCACCCTCACAAGCTGACTTCTGTTACCAAGATAGGACTTAAACCATTCGAGAGCCATTCCTCTGAAACCGTAGAACTGTAATTTGTTAATTAAGATATTATGATTAACACAGTCGAAAGCTTTGGAGAAATCACAGAAAATTGAGGCTGTAGAGTGGTGGCAGTTCAGGCTGGAGTATACATTATTGAAAAGGGAAAACATTGCATCATTAGTACATTTGTTACTTAGGAAACCGAATTGACTGGTAGTTAGAATATTATATTTAGAGAGAAATGATAGAAGCCTCTTTTTAACCAATCTTTCTATGATCTTTGATAGCGTAGGAAGGAGTGCAATGGGGCGATAGTTTGAAGGTAGCTCCTTATCACCTCCCTTATGCAGTGGGATAATTATCGCCATCTTAAGATAGTTTGGAAAAGCTCCATTTAGAAACGACTTGTTGATCAGAGTGTAAGAAGAGATATAAGAAGATACGAAGTGGGAGAAATTAAACCAACCATAGAGAATAACAAAAGCATGAAGGTACCTACCTACTCCAAACTTACAAATGGAAGGAAAGAAATATGCAAAATGGGAAACAAAGATTACGACCAATAGAAAGGAAATATTAAATATAGTGGAGGAATTCTATAAATTCCTTTATAAAAGTCAATATGACAAAGAGAATCCTGAACCCGTAATACTGCTGAAAATAAAACAACTTTTTAACCTCTGTCTATTCAAATCCCCAAA